ATTAAAAGTAGGTTAAAGATAACTGTCACCACTATCTGTGTCCCAGGTTGCCTGATTGGCTTCTTATATATGTTTTGGCTCTTAAGTAAAAAGAGGAATATTAAAAACGTGTATCATTTGAAATTAAGATTTGGTAATGCTGTAGCCGTTAGACTTATATGTGGAAGAGTGACAACACAGAAGCCATAAGGGAGCACTGTGTGTATGAAAAACAGTGGACTTGTGCATCATCTTTTAATTTCTTTTCCCCCTCCCATCTTGCTTAGTCTTGTGCACAGTTTCCTAACTGATCAGGATATGATCAGGATTTGTAGGCAGGAGAGGCTTCCAAGCAGTTGGTTGTATCTGTTTTGATTGCATACCATATCAATTTAATATAATTTAATTGTATACCATACCCTGATGGTGCGAAGAAGGTATAATCACAAAGTTGCAAGTGCAGCGTGTTACTGGACAAGCTGCGGGATACAGTCCATTGACTAAAATTCTTGATGGCAATTGAGACTTAACTTCAAGTCTTTGGAGAATCTGTTTCAAGAGAAAATGTAATCTTCTTTGCTTTTATGTATTTCAGCCATACTGAAAGATATTACATCTTATAGGATTGTCAAACCTGCATTGAAATGGCAATAACTTATTAAAAAAATGGGCTAGTCTGTTCTATACAGAATTCTAAATGTGACTTTTCTCCCTCCCAACAACAGTATCTCATTATAAGGAATGTTTTTTTTTTCTTTTGTTCCTTTGGAGAATTTCATTTACTGTACAAAACAAAATATTTTTGAATCCAAAATTATGTCACCTTGTCATAGTTTATGATATTCTGAATGTCCAGGAATGTGATACAGTACAAAAAGGTGACTAATGAAGTTAAATTTTGAACAACAACAAAAAAATAAAGATAATGATGATTGGAAGAATCACTGCAGATATGGTTGTTGGAGAGTTTATTTCCTCAAGAATATGAAGAAACCATGTGTTAGTGGTTTCTTCATGTGGATTGAGTTCCTTTAGAGGAATTATAAATAAGCAGCTGATTCAATAAGAAAAATTCATGGTTATTGGATATCTCCAACTCAGAGAAATAGCTGCGACAGTGTGTGAGCAGCTCTTGCAGAATCATAGAAGTTATATTTTGATAAGTTTTATTTATGTATTTATGTATACGTTCACTAGTTTCTTTTCTCTCTTTTTGTTACTTTTTTCTGTATGAATTGAACATTATGTGCTAAAACTGTGCTGATTGTTCAGTAATTTTTAATGACATTTTTACTATGGCTGGTGTGGGTCTTCCGGGCTGTGTGGCCGTGTTCTGGAAGTTTTGTTTCCTAACGTTTCGCCAGCATCTGTGACCGGCATCTTCAGCAGGAGCACAGACAGGAGCAGTTCTCTCTGTGCCCAGGATGATGTGATCCTGTTGCGGGTATTTATATATAGCTGAACATGCTCTCAAGCACACTGGACACAAAAT